CTAATGTTTGCTACATACCTCTCCTTAGCATGTGCTCTCCTTGCAGAAGCTGAACTATTGCAGTTTGAGTTGCTGGCACAATAACAATGCTTCCATCTTCACGACCACAAACCAGGCGTCCATGTGCTGGGATATACACGCTGGCTGTAACTTTAAGTGGTTCGTTACTGTTTGGTATTAAGCTTAATTGGTCTATAATTCCAGCAGGACGAGGAGTAAGTTTACAAAAAGCTTCTTGCAGAGAAGTTGAAGTTGTCATTTGCAGTCCTGTTTAAAAAAAAAAAAAAAAAGTGATTAAAATAATTATAGCACCTGTCTTGAGAAGATCTCAAAGCCCTTTATCAATATTAGTAAATTTTACAACACCCTTGTAAGTAAGTACAAAACACATATTGGAGATTAATTCACCTACCATAACAATGCAGTCAGTCAGTCAAACTTTAACACTCAACTCTACTAGCACACAGAAATACCAGACGAGAGTTTGAGAAAGGAATTGAAAAAGAATGTATCCAACTTAAACTGCACAAGGAACTTATTCACACAGATGGCAATTACCAGACATGGAATTTAGTAAGAGACCCCAGTTAACTCCTTTAAGTCTTGTGAAAAGTACTATTGGATTTTTTCAATGACAAAACACAACTAAGACTTCAACACTACATCTCATCTGAAAGAGGACTGCTGTAGGAACACAGTGCAGCACTGGTTTACTAACTGATCAGAAGAATCTACTGACTCACAGCCCCTTTCTTCAACATCTAGTTGTTCTTTGAAGGTCTCTTGATTGTATGGGTATACCGCAAGAAGGACAAGAGACTTATTATGAGTTTTAATCAGGCCGCAACTTTATTATATAGCTGTCTGGGACTACCCGGCAGATAAAGTGTACAGTGCAGGTAAATCCATGCTTATTCAAATCAATTCTCCAGGGCTTTCACCAGCCTCCTTTGTTTAATCCATGCTTATTCACACCAATTCTCCGGGGCTTCCACCAGCCGCCCTTTGTTTTCATCCAGGTCCCCCAGCCGACCCATGGCCTGGATCTTACCATCCACCAGCCTCGCAAGAGGCTTAAGGAGGGCTATGAAAACAGGGGGAGTTGGCTCCCTGCTGTACCAGTCAGGGGAGTCCCTGAACCCAATCCCCTGTTCTGTTTCTTTTTCCAGTACCTCCTTTTAAGTCCTTTACCAGGCCATTTATCTGGTCACTGGCTGCCCTCCCTATGGAACATCTGCCCAATATTACAAAATAAGTTGCGACATATGGCCTACCACCTTTTCTATTCACCAGAAAAGGTCCATCCTCACACCCGCTGTGAGGAAGGTGAAAAAAACACATTCCATCGAAGCCAATTCTGGTGGTCTTGATTCTAAATATACTTGTGCACATGCTTAATATTAGTCGTTTGAGTGAGGTACATTATTTTTTGTATTGCAGAAGCACTTGGAGCCAGGACACCTTTGTGCTAGACACTGTAAGAAAAAAAAGAAATAGTCCCTGTTCTGAAGAGCTTAAAATCTTAAAACAGACAACAGATAGCTATGACAAATATATCAGGAAAAGGGAACAGCAAGACAACTGAAATCAGTATGAAAGCAGTGCTCGTAGCACTCGTTTAACCACCACCAAAGTTGTTGTTTTTTTTTAGTCATCACAAAATAGAGAGAGTTTTAAAGGAGGATAATGTAGTGAGTGACCTTGCAGATTTTTACAGGGAGTTTCTTCTTTGCATAAAGAGGTGATATGGAAGGTGCACAGCAGTGTTTGTCTGAAACTGTGACAAATGGCCAACCAAGGGCAGCATCATTGACAGAGAGGAGGTGGGAGTCTACATCTCTATAGAACACTGAAATTATAGGCAAAGTAGGGGCAGCCATGAAGAGCCTAAAAAGAGGAAGACAAATACTTTGTGCTTCATGCAGTGGAAAGGAGGAAGGGGGAGGAGTCGGTGGAGGAATGCAAAAGGTGTATGCGTATAAGGGTGATATGGTCCATGTAACAAGACAGGAAGATTATTTTTGAAGCAGCATTATGAATAGATTTAAGGGAGGCAAGACTGCATTTGTCAGCAACAGATGAGGACGACGTTGCTGTAGTTAAGATGTGAGATAATGATGGCCTGGATGAGAATATTAGTTATGTGAACAGTGAGAAAAGGCTGGGTTTTCGTGACGTTGTACAGGAACAAGAAGCAAAATTTATAAGCAGAGCAGAGTCATGTTATAGGCCTGAAGGTGGTGGTACATGTGTAAATATTTGAAGGATTGGGTCTTTGGTTTGAAAAGGCTAATATGGCCCATAGCATAAGGTAGTATTTTGTTAAATACCAGTAGTGTACAGATTAACAAAACTGTATCTGTATTTTTTCCTTAATTAATAAGAGCATTTTAGTGTAAAAAACTAAAATGTAGGTGAAGCACATTTACGTCCTGAAAATAAAAGTATTGGGTGCTGGTACAGAGGTGCTCCACTAAGCACACTAGCAATGATATACAGGAGGCGGTTTGTGTGAGCCTCCAGATAACTGAGCCACCCTGTGGTCTCTGAACGAAAATCTCAGCTTTAAATTTAAAAGAAAATTGCAGCCATTCTTCTTCTGAATTACAGCCTTAAATATAAAAACAGAAGTAAACCAGTAACTAGGGTCAAAAAGAACAAGCAGCTGGGTTTTACTTTTTGAACAGGAGACTGGTAAAACCTAAATATTCCTTCCTTTCCCCCCTCTCTTCCTCCCCCTCCCCCAACCCTCTCTCCACAAATGTTATGTAAAATTAGTCAGTTAAGTTTGAGGTGTATGCCAAAGAACCATCTCTCTAACGTTCCCCAAACACCACAGGCTGGTCTCTTACACAGAGGTGTGATAACTCGTTTCTATCCACTCTTGGGTTTGGATAAGGAGCACAGCAAGAAAAAAAAAATTTTCAGATATACCCAAAAATGCTGGGTCCAACTCTGTGTGTTAAAATTGCTATCACATCCTAAGGCTGGGAGCGAACCAGCACTTACTCTCTTCAGGCAGTTTTCATACCACAAGTTTGCCTTGCTTTGCCACAGCAATAGCAGCTACTGCAAGAAGAATTCCTCTTCTGCCACCCTCACCGAAGCTTCCAGTAGCACAGGGAGTCATACCACCTTGTCTTCCTGCAACCACCCATCTGCTTTAACAAGAGATAGTGGGAAATCCAGGCCAGAAAGGAGACTTCCCCTCCACCTCATTCCCGTATCTGCCCCTCCTCACACTAACCAGAGAGATTTGTTCCCTCACCCAATCCACCACCTGAAGAAGCTTGCAGAAGAGTAGGAATGGAAAGAATGGTTCTAATCAGGCTCTTACATCACATACCACTGAGGATGGTGTTATGTTAGAAGGTGGATAAGCATATTAAATTAATGGACTTAGAGGAGAAGAGGAAGCACGTTCACCCAGGGAATGTCACACACATAACCAAATGAGCAAAAAAAGGGAGCGACTTGTTAAAAGTTTTGGCAGCAAGTCACTGTGTGTTAGTTAACGCTACCTTCTGTGTTGTCTTGCAGTTCAAGTGTATCTGGCACATTCCAAATACACAGTCTCCCTGAAGAATCTCCCTGGATTAGAAGTTTATGGAAACACTCCCTGCGTCCATAGAAGAATCGAGTAATAGGGGGACAGATAAGCAGCTGTAAAATAAAGACATATTAGAACAATTTCAGATGTATATGGCAGGTTCCTAATCTTGACAATAACTTCCCTCACATAACCTTCTCTATTCCTGCTATACCTTTTAAAGACAAACAAGAATGGGAAAACAAAGTAACACACAGCAAAACAAAACCATGACTAATTACAGAGCATATTATAAACATAAAATATATCAGGCAGAATTTTAAAATAGACAATTTAATTGCAACAGAGGACTGAAAGGTGTGATTTGAAATGGTGAAAGTTAACAGCAATAAGATCTGAAACACAAACAGAATACAGAATGAGTTAAATAGTGTCCAATAATAAAATAGTCAGGAAAGGTTTCAATCTCTTCTGTTGGGACAATATTATGGTTAAATTAAAAAAAAATGTATTCCTAAAAACTATCTTGTGACCAAGTTATTCTTTTTAACTTATGTTGAAGTACAGTTGCCTGATGTTCAAAAATCTACTGTAAGTTCCATTACAGAAAATAGAGATGGAAGAGACATTAGGTTATCTTGGTCCATATCTCTGCCAGTGCAGGATTGTTCCCAATAATATCCTCTCTAGCACTTTGCCTAGTATTATTTTAAATAAGAAAAAGCTTCCATTATTTCCCTGAGGAAACTATTCCAGAGTGTCTTATAAATATCACTCAATTAGTTTTACTCAATATTTACCCTAAGTTTACCTTTTCTTAATTTCAGTCCAATTGTTAGGTATCCCTTGAACCATACTATATATTTCCACATACCCCTCAAATATTTGTCAGTATGCCTCACTTTAGCAGTTGCTTAGCCAAGCTACAGAGTATATACTTCATACATCCAGTCTTTTCTCAGATTCTACATAAATCCCTTCAGCTCTTCAATCATTTTTGTTACTTTCTCTGCAGTCCCTTCAGTTTGTCTACATCGGGGTAGGCAACCTATGGCACGTGTGCCAAAGGCAGCACGTGAGCTGATTTTCAGTGGCACTCACACTGCCCAGGTCCTGGCCACCAGTCCAGGGGCCTCTGCATTTTAATTTAATTTTAAATGAAGCTTCTTAAACATTTTAAAAACCTTATTTACTTTACATACAATAGTTTATTTATATATTACAGACTTATAGAAAGAGACCTTCTAAAAACGTTAAAATGTATTATTAGCACGTGAAACCTTAAATTAGAGTGAATAAATGAAGACTCGGCACGCCACTTCTGAAAGGTTGCCGACCCCCGGTCTACATTTTTCTGTTAATGATTCACCACCCTTTGGCACAAAACCTCTGAGGTACAGAGCCCAAAAATTGCACTGACTTTTTTCCACCTCATTGCATTACATTGTAGTTATACAGTAAAAACGGTGTTTTCCAGCACTTTACCAACTGGAAAACTCTAGAAACCAGCATTTCTGATACCGATGAAAAGTCCAGTTGACGCGGGGCCGGCAGGCTTCCTACCTGGCTCCGCGTGGCTCCCTGGAAGCGGTGACATGTCCCTGATGCTCCTCGGCAGAGGAACAGCCATGGGGGCTCCATGCACTGCCCCCACCTCGCCCTGCCCGAGTGCTGGCTCCGCAGCTCCCATTGGCCAGGAACCGCAGCCAATGGGAGCTGCGAGGGTGGCACCCGTGGGCGGAGGCAGCCCGCAGAGCCACCTGGCTGCGCCTACGCCTAGGAGCAGCAGGGATGTGTCGCCGCTTCCAGGGAACCAAGGTGAGCGCCACCCGGATCCAGCACGCGAAACCCCTCCCGCGCCCCAACGCCCTGCCCCGAGTTTCCGTCCATACCCAAACGTCTTTCCTCCATTGGTCAGTATAACTCTTAGTTAACAAGAATTTTTGACTAACCGGCACCCCTTTCCCCCATCCTCCCAACATGCCAGATAACAAAGCTTTTACTTTACTTAGGTTTCAGTATTCAAAAGGCAACATTTTCCAGAAGACTGTTTTATTTAAATTGTACAGAACTAAGCTCTTCAGCCTAATATGACAGTAGCATAAAAGGGACAGAAAGCAACCCAAAAATAAAAACAACCAAAACAATACATACAAAGGGAAATTGGCTATATGCTCTAGTAACATGAGTGTAGAGTAATCCGAGATAGCTTAGACATCTTACTATGTGTGTATTTATTTATATATTTAAAAAAGAAAAAACCCTTATTATCATTAAAAATGTATATTATCAGTGTCTCCTTCTCTGCTGCTTCCTCTACAGAACAGGGGTCTGGGGAATCAAGGGAGAGGGAGGGAAGAATCCCAAAAGGGTGAGGAGAGAACACAGGAGAGGGGGGACCCACAAGTTGTGTGTATGTGGGGAGGGAGAATGGTACAAAAGACCCTCCAAATGATGTGACGGGGATGAGGGAAAGGAAAGCGTCCAAAGTGGAGCAGGGGATGGAGAAAAGGGTGGGGAAAACTCAAAAAAGGGTTGGTGAGGATGGTCAAAGAGGGAAATAAATGGCAACCCAAGTTAATGGACAGAGGCAAGGAGGCTCATAAATGAATTTAACTTTTTAAAAAAAAAATTAGATTTGTGTAAATGTAATACTTAGCACTCCCTTAGATATTGAGACTCATTTTCCAGTAGCAATTGGGCAAGACTGTGAAACTTGCCTCCTTGCTAGTTAGCTTTTTCCCACCTCACACCCCACACACTCTAACCAAATGGGTAATTCAGGCTCAGAATAAGTATGACATGCTTGACCTAGAAGATTATTATTGGAGGATACCATCTAACAATACTCACTGAAAAGAAAGGAAAAATGATATCTAAATTGGTGCATTGGTGTGAGGATGCCTGAAGAACTGAAAACAAACTGATCTGACCTGTGCAGTGCTAATTATGGCCTTCATCTTAAAAAAAACCCACACACACCACAAACTCATGAAATACTAAAGGATTAGGAAATTAAGCCAAATGAATTACACTTTAAAAAGTCAGTTATTCTCTGAAAATGTTGACTTTAACTAAGGAAAAGAAATAGACAATTTGTAATGTTTGTGAGCAAGTTTTTATATAAAAACCATGCACAGCATAATCCACAAGACAAGGAATGTGTTTTACCTGTTTATCTGCTCGGTCCAATACACTGAACAGTAAAGGAGGAATTAAATTTTCAACAGCTTTTCCCACATCACTGCGAAACGTATCACTAGCTGGTAGGCAACTGAGTTTAACACAGAACAACAAAAGACACCAATTTAGAACCCTGACCTTATTAAGAATCTATTACTGTATCACTGTTTAAATGCAGAATTTACTAACAAAAAAATACTTTAAAAAAAAAAAAATCTGTGTTTCCACTACATTACATTTATTCATTTTGTCAATTTTTCAATATATAACTATACAGATGCCCATTCAGTCACCTAGGTTTATTTCACGTAAACTAAAAATCGCGATATAAACAGAGGGCTACTCATAAACGTATCCAGCTCAGTCTACTTCCACCTCAATGGCCTTAGAAAAGAAAGAAGATGAGCTTTGCAGTGGACCTGGGAGGTTCAATCTAGCCTCTGGTGGACCAAGGAGAGGGAGGAGCGAGTGCCAAAACCAAAGTTTCCTCACAAAGCGCCCTGCCAGCAACTCCCTCCCATTTATATTGAGGGAGCTCTAGCTCAAGCCCTTCTGCTGATCCCTGCTGCGGCAGTATATGATGTGGAGAGAGATGCTCTCTCAGATAACTTTATCACAAACCAATTAGGGCTTTACAGGTTTAAAGTAACACTCTGAACTCCACACAGAATTCTACTGATCCTTATTAGATTCTGCATACAAAACCTAAGAGCTTATACATTATGAAGAGACATGCTCCCCAAACAAATACAGTCAGAAGACTGTATAGAATTGAGAACAATTAAAAAATTAAAATTTCAAGTGGCTACAGATACTATATTTAAAGACAATCATTTTCTAGCTCAGATTGAGAGGACTGTATAATTTTCCTGTCATATATAATGAATTATGATCCGAATCATGTGTAACTAAAATTTATTTACCACAGCATGTCATTACAAAAACAAAGCATCTTGGATAGGCTGAGACAGGAGGTCTTTCTCGCATGACAATAACTAAAAAGAAAAGTGATAAAACTGCTCTCTAAAAAACATCAGATAACTGATTCCAGGGCTGGAGACACTCTCTTGTATATTGTACCAATTAGCAGGCCCACAGACCGGCAACATGTTACTAAGAAATATTAGTTTGACCTGGGATACTGTTAGTAGGCTTATGTCTAGGACAGAATTGGTTCCAAAACTCGTCCAGATAATGTTCAAGACATGTGGTACAGAAATTAGATCAAACAGTGGCTTAGGAAAGGTGAAACAGGATCTCACCACATAATCACAGAAGCATAAAACAATTTTGCACTGGCTACAAACTCAGCAAGAATCACAGCATATTTCATGCAAATGGAGTTGAGAAAGAGTGTAGCCTATAGAGATGATGTTTGCCTATACCAATGTGCTGAAATGTAAGTAGAGAATACGTTTTTGGGCCTAAATTTGGGCTTGAAGATAATAAGGCCTAATAAAATATGAGTGAAGTAGACAATTCAGGGTCAAGTTAGAGGTAAAGTAGGCCAGGTCATGCAGCAAACATATTTGGTTTTAACAAATGCTCTAGACAAAAAGTGTATGTTTTGGAAGAATGTTATCTGTACTAATAGTTACTGGAACAATATTTACATAGATGTTAATTAAGATGACATTTCATGTGAAATAGCCTATGATAAAGTAGAAAATATTTAATCATGGTGGTGGAAATATAGATATGGTAAAAAGTGGGCCTAATTAATTAAGGGGTATTATTATAATTGATTATAAAAATGGTAGCATTAATTTTAGGTTAGCACACACATTGGCCATCAAGGTACCATTAAAGAAAGGATTACATGCCCATTCTTCTCAACCAGGGACTGATTACCCCTGGATGTACTGTTTCATCTTGGAATATGGTATAAATGCAGTGTATCGTTATACTGCAATACCTGTTTACTTGACCTGATTATTTTATTTTAAATAAAGTCTTTTATGCTATCACTAATTGTATCAGAGGAGTAGCCGTGTTAGTCTGGATCTGTAAAAAGCAACAAAGAGTCCTGTGGCACCTTATAGACTAACAGATGTATTGAAGCATAAGCTTTCATGGGTGAATACCCACTTCGTCAGACTCATGCACTAATTGTGTCATTCACAGTCCTCCACTAAACTAAATTATCTGTAGCGGCCCCAAAGGCTCCAACCTTAAATAGTTCAGTTTAGTTCTATTCCTTATCTTTAAACCATTAATTGGGAACACACACCATTCAAGTTAATCAGCAGCATACAATTTAGACATTCCCAATTGAGGTGGTTCTGATAACAATGAGTTCAGCAGAAACCAGTCATAACCAGGAAGTAAAGACAAGGGTCTGATTAACACTAAATTAAGTATCTTTGGTGGAAACATACTTTAAAAACCCACCAAGTCTGATCTTTTACCTTTTCTGTGTACAAGAACAAGTAATGCTTTTTAAAGGTTGAAACACTAGACTTAACTTACTGTAACAACATCCTGTTGATCCTAATTAACATAGCACAAATAATATTTCTTCCCTCGATGTGTCCCTGATTCAGCAAAACATTTAAAGTACATGCTTGAACTTGTTCACGGCACACCTTCAAGGGAAAAGCAAACCCAGTAACACCACATATTCTCCAATGTCAGCAATAACGAATCACAAAGGATCATAGTAATGATGGAAAATACGTGTCTCAAGCTTTGACTTTATTATTACCTAGTATTGTTTGGTATGTACCATAACATTAAGGTACAACATTTTCAGGATACACAAATTTTAAGGTATGTTAGTGGCATTTTAGTTTCAACAACATTGATTTAGGGATCAAACAAACCAATCAGATTTAACATTTTATTTTTATTCCACATCTCTGAGTTTTACCTGCTACCGCATATGTGCTCCATTATTTAAAAGTCTGAGTACCTGGCTGGTAGTTTGTAAATAAAACTTTGTCCATCTTCTGTCCATATGATCACTTTATCAGCTGATACAAAGTCACCGCCAGTCCACGTTTGTCCATTTTCACTGGGAACTGAACATAACAAGGAATAATCTCCAGCATCAAAAACCTAGAAGTAAGCAAAATTAAACAAAAACAAAAAGTCTATTTGTTTATCATTACATGGTCATATTTTAAATGTTTGGATAGCTGATAATTTAATACCTCCACATATTTAGTTTTAAGGAACATTCAATTCTATTACCTATGGAAGCATTTACTTAAGAAGATACTTAATACATACTCAATTCCATAAAATAACCAAGAAAATACATTTGTTACAGAAATTACAATGTCTGTGTCATATTTGCAATCCTTTGATACACATTACAAATATGGTACGGCATATCATGCTTTCTATTTATTTAGATTTTGCAGATTTTTGTCTGCATAAAACAAAACCATATCAACTATTTAACCTTCAAAAGGGGTTTTCATCTATTTTTTAAATAATGTCCAAAGTGTGAACGCAATATACTCCCATCGCTGTGAGCCAATATACTTGAAATAGACTAAATACTCAATGAACTCAGAGCTCTAATTGATTTATAAACACTTTCCCAAGCTTCTTTCCCTATGTCTCACTAACAGTTTTATTAAATCAGCCTCTATTGCTAAGAAAAAGCCAGTTTTTTTACTTAACTGGTTATCCTTACCCTCCAGTATTTGGAGCACACTACCAAAAGTGATCGTTGGGTAAATGCACAGAAAGAAATGCTTTGGCAGTTTTGACAATAAATTGGTTTAGACTCCTCCTCAAATACTGGTTCCGTATCCTAAAAGAGAAAGAAAGAAAGAAAGAAAGTTACCTTTATTTAACCCTATGATACCTAAAATTGTTCTGCTTTGTGCCAGGATTCTCAAATTATGCTCTCTGGACCTCTGAGAAGGTCTAAGGAGCATTTCAGGTGGTCCCACAGAACTTCTTCTGTCACAATAGCAAAACATTTATCAAGCTTCAAGCAAGGACATTTCCTGAGGGGTAGCCCAAGATACAAAGATGTATGGGTGTAATCCCATGTGGATGCAACATGTTTTACTCTGTCAGATATTTCTTTGATGAAAATTCAACCAGGATCAAATTTGCAGACTGCCAAAACTAAAGGGATAGGAAGCATACAGAAGAGTAGACCAAAAACCATGAAGTGGCATGGGTCGTCAGATGTTCGGCTGCGTCTGTGTTCCCTCCATATGCCATGCCAGCTCTGCGCAGATAGCTGGCACAGCAGACCTCGAGCGAACTGCCCAATAAGACCACAAGACGTGGTTTAGTAGCGAAGGGGCCCGGCCAGGTTTATTGTCGACGAAGCACAGTAAAAGCACCTGGTAGACTCTACAAGTATACTAAGACATGTATGCCCATGACAGTGGATGCAGCTCGGTCAGTGGCAGGACTTTCCACTGCTCCCTAGGCTGGCAAAGACACTCCCTCTGAGATACATCTTTATACACCAATACAAACAAATTACGTATTACCTCGACGTATCTAAATGCCACCTTCTGACGTATTTGGGTGCCACCCATTACCTCGTACATGTTGGTTTGATCAAAACATTTCTATACATCATGCTGTCATCCTGACCTTATCTTTAGGATGGGTCAGTGTGTTTTTGTTATCTTTGGGGAATGTGCTGGTATCGAGGTGTTCTGGTACCAGCTGGTATCGAGGTGCTCTGGTACCAGCTTTCTGGAATGTGTTTGCGTATATAGTCTTATGCCTAGCACTACTTTGGAATGTGTGTTTCTGCAATATCAGCCTTGTTCTTGCCAGATTCTCTGAGCAGGGCCTGCCTCTTGCTCACAACTTAACTTTGCTTTACATTAGCAAGTTTTGACCATTACTTTAGCCCAGGCCTCAGGGCTCATACCAGGCCACTAATACAAGGCCTTATGTTTCAGGTCCTCTCCTTACTTCAGCATATAGAAATTAGAGAAGTGAGGGTTGCAGGCAACAAGTGGAGACTCAGTTATAGTAAACTGAAAGCCCTATGTCAGGGAAAAGCGGGGGGAAAAGAATGTAGAGACAAAATGGATGAGATATAATCAAGCAGCCACACTCCTTATGTCAATTGAGTTTATTTTATATTTGACCCCTTTCATGTTAATGAGTATTAGAGCTACCAGAGGAAAAGGGTGCACTTAGGATTGGGAGAAGTGTTCATAAGAGGATCTCATCATAAATGATCCACATGATAAAGTTTGAGAACCACTGTTTAGTCAGTTACCAAGAAAACCTAGGTAAAATGTTCAAGAGTGCCTATTATTACCCTCTATTAATAATAAAAACTTATTATTTGGAAATAAAAACTAACTGGAAAGGGACGCAAGAAAGAGGGAGAGGAAGAAGGGAGGGGGGAAGCAAGACAGCTAGTAGACAGCTACCTCATTTCCTAGCTTTTGTGGTTTTGTGCACCTAAGAACACCAAAGCAGTTTGGTGATCTCCTCCTACCGTTGTTCCAACCATAAAATTTAGTATATTTTGTTATGATTGGCAGTGTGCTTAGAAAAGACCCTGAACTGAAACAGTAGGAGGGATGCACGGGGAGCATTGTTGGGGAGAAGAATAAGAAGCTTATACAATGACTTGTCTGTGAAATTCCCTGGCTCTAGCCAATGACATCAGCCTCCTCACTTTTACAAAAACTGGATCTAATTTAAGGAACAAAAGAAGAAGGATTGGTTCAGTGGTTAGGGCACTACCGTGGGACTCAAAGGACCTCAGTTCCTGTGTGACCATGAGCTACTCACAATCTCTCTGTGCTCCTGTTCCCCCATCTTTAAAATGATAATGTTTCACTGCCTATAGGGGTGTTGTATAAAACACAACGAATATCATGAAGTGCTCAGATAACGTGGGGGTCTGAAGTATCTCAGAAAGATAGACAGTAAGCAAAGATAACACATCAATAATTGTACTTGTCTTATAATATATAGTTAGTTTTTCTATATGGAAATCTTAACAAAGATCTCCTTACATTTAAATTTATCACTCAAAATAAAGTTTAATAAGACAACAGTGGATATGTCTACACTGCATTTTAAAACCCAGGGCAATGAGTCTCCAACAGATTCAGGCTCACACCACAGCAGTAAAAACTGCAGTCATTCGGGCTCGAGTTTGGACTATGAAGCCCGGCATTGAGAGGTGGGCTTCAGAGCCTGAGCCACAATATTTACACACTTGTTTTTAGTACCATAACACTACTAGTTTGTAGACCAGAGCTAAGAGTCTTGCGGTTGCAGGTTTTAAATCACAGTGTTGACATACCCAATGTGCATGTAATGAGAAATGGAAAATTCTGTGTTTCTTAAAAGGCCAGATGACCATCTCCCAAGGAAGAGCCAAAAAACTTTTTGGAGGTCTTATGAGACTAATAGAATAAAAAGATCTGCAAGAGCTTGTGGTAATCTATTCTGTCACGGGTAAGCCTAACAAATTCCTCTGCAGGACAGATTAGTGCTGCCTATTTAGTACTGACGCTGTCAAGTGAGTGATCTTGCCTGTAGACAGTGAGCTGAGGCTAACTAAATAGGATGGATATTGTTTTAAATTCAAGCTGCACTTTCTCAGGGAGCCCAACATCTTTGTAAGAAAAATTAGATGACAAAGTCTTTTATGTGGTTTGATTACCTCTTTGCTATCCACATCTTTCCAAAACAGCCCAGGTCCCTTGCAACTGGAAATTCTTAACATTTTAACATTGTTTTTAAGGAAGACTTTTAAATTAAGAAACACTAGTTGTATCAAACATGCCAAATTACTCTAGAGCATACTCTGGCTATTTCAGTAAGTGAAACAGTAGAAAAAGGAGTTCCCCTTTTTTTCCAGACTCTGCCACAGAGGACGAACAAGGATCAAGTAACTGCTCTCTTTTTCAACCAATAGACACACAATCCCTTTTTGTAGTTTCCAAAATAGGTCTCAGAATTGTTTACTAAAGTGAAAAGCAACAGAAAGTCCTGAATGCCCACATCCGACGAAGTGGGCATTCACCCACGAAAGCTTATGCTCCAATACATCTGTTAGTCTTAAAGGTGCCACAGGACTTTCTGTTGCTTTTTACAGATCCAGACTAGCACAGCTACCCCTCTGATACTTTACTAAAGTGAGTAACTCAGCTATTTGAAGTCATCATCTATATTTGATCTTATACATAGTAAAGATAATTGGTGCCCCCTTAATATTCAAGAGCAGATGCAGCCTTCTAAATTAAAGCAACAAAATCTAAATTAGCTGTGAAGATTTACACCGTGAGAAAAATTTGCAGGTGTTTAGCTTTGATGTACACAACATATGAATCTCCTGTGGGCAGCTAAAATGCTAGTAGTCTCCTAAAAGTGTTACACACTTTTTTAGAGAAAGATTCTTTACTTTACTGACTGGCACCAATTCAGATGCTGACAGTACAGGAGGGCAGGAATAACAGACTATCATACAGAGGATTTATAGCTATTTATGCAATTCTATCTGCTGCTCTGCATGGTACACTGAAATCTTCACTTACCAACACTCTCTCTGCAATCCTCTCAAAGGTTTTTTTTAAGTCACTTACAAAGTTCAGAATGGGGTGGGATAGGGGAGTTAACTCTGAAGAAAAGGATGGTATTGTGGTTAAGGCACAGTTCTGGAAGGCAATAGATCTGGGTTAGTTTCCCAGATCTGCCACAGATTTCTTATGCACCTTAGGTAGGTCACTTACATCTCTCTCTACCTCAGTTACTCCATATGCATAATAGGGATAATAAAACTTCCTGTCTGTCTCCCACGTCTATTTAGACTGTAAGCTCCTTGAAGCAGGGATTGTCTCTTATTATGTGCTAGGTGCTGTTGTATACACAATGAGACCTCAATCTCCACTAGAAACCCTAAGAGCTATTAGAATAAAATAATCTCTGAAAGTTTGCCTTCTGAGTCTACTTTTCCATATCCCCATTGGAAATTCTGTAAAAATGCACAAGAAGAAGTCATTACTGGAGGGAGGGAGAAAGAGAAAGAGAGAAAGCTGGGGGAGAATGGAGAGAGAGAAAGAAAGTAAAGTGAAAAGTATATATGCATCAATATTTAAAGCCCCACCTTCATCCTGCAAAGCTGGTTGTAATTTCCTTGCAGTACAAGTAATTTTTAAATCACCAAATAACATAGCATTAAATGGAGAGGGGGGAACAGGGGGCAGACTTAGCACTAGACTCTCTCTCTGGACTTAACTTTAAGAGTCAGACCTCTAAGAAGGTGGCACGAGACATGGACAATAGAAAAATGACATCCCTAAAGAGTTTGCAGCTGATCTAAGGGAGAAATTAGAGAATAAGGAGTCCCTTTTTGGAAGGCAGAGGAGAGGTTAATTATTATGGCTCTTGAGCAGCTGGAGGATCACATAAAAGATGATGACCAAAAGAATGTTTCTGTTCAACAATACTAAGAGGAAAAAATTATGGGACTCAACACAGAGAACATACCGAGAGTGGCCCACAATGGAAATTGCAGAGCCTTGTTCATGCCCCATGCAATGTTTGACAGTGAAGGAAGAATTCAGATTCAGAAACTCCTCTGCTTACCTGCATCCGACTAACTTCAGAAGTTACAATCCACACTTTCAGAATACCAGTCACTGAAACTGCTACGACAGTATCCTCTGGTGGGTGACAGAGGGGCAGGAAAGAAGTTACAATAAAATGAAAGATATGTTGTACAAGAGATTACAAACATCAAAAATATTCTAAAAGTTTTTAATAAATTCATGAAGTGCTTGTTCCAAATTCAAGTGGTTAAATTAGAACTGGCAAATTATATGCAAAGAAAACAATGCACTAATTTCCCATTTGTTCTTTTGCTTTGTGGGAGTGAGGAATTCTCTGCATACATACATAGAGCTCAAATTGGGGAGAAAAAACAATGACGGAGTGGCACTCTCCCAAGCTCTGCACGCGAGCCAAGCTCTGCCTACGTTAGATGTCAAAATAAGACTCCACTCCAAGTAGATTGTGCAGATGTGATCACATAAGCTCTTAAGGGTTGGGTCTCCCTCTGTGGGGTTTGGATAGACCCATGCACAGGGCCAGGTTACATAGTAGTAACGATTTACTGAAAACGTATGGAGACTGAACTACACTACCATTCCTAGAAGTGACTGCTCTGAATTACAGTTCAGGCCAGTATACAAAGCCAGGGTCTGAACAGTAATTCTTATTCTGTGGATTAACAAAAAAACTGCAGTCTCAAAGGCTACCAAGCCCGTACCTTTCACCGACACCAAATTCTTAATGATTTTTGGCAAAGATAACCTTAATCCTTCAAATGGAAGAAACATTTGAAAACATGTGTGATTTCAACATGAAGTGACACATTCCAGTCTAGACTTTGCCAGGAGACTAGAAAAAAAAGTAGCTGTTTTTCTTACTTAAAAAAAGAAAAGTACAATAAACCCAAACAACTTCTCATTACCTTGTGTTCTATGGGATCGAATAATACTCATGGAGCTGATCCAGTCGGGAGAAATCTTTGACACTAAGGAATAAAGAACCTCGAGACTGGTAGCATCCACAACAAGAATTTCTGGGTAATGGCCATGACACAGTAGCCTGCCTTCACGCTGAGTCCCAACTGTGAACTGGTAGAACTGTTGTAAAGAGAACACAGTCCCTTAAGAAACTAGTTAATATTTTTTAAATCACAATCTAATTATAGGTTTTTTATCTCTATGGTGTTATTGGTGTATTACAATTATTTTCTATTTTCATAAATTATTTTGATAAGTTAGAATTCCTTGATTAACTAGCAGAGGCCAGCCAGGTATTTACAATTTGTTTGTTTGTTTTTAAATCCATACCCCCTTCTGCCCCAAAACACATTGTGGTATTACATCACATAACCAAATATTTTAAAAATTTCTGGAACTGGCTGACCAAATATTTGGCTTTACATTCCAGCTGGTCTCTGTGGGGAGCAGTGCTACTTGCCTGATGATAAATATAATCGCTGTAAATTAATTCTTGACAATTTTTCAAAAGCTGAAATGCAACCCATTTCTAGGGTGACAATGTAGAAATACATTTTATAAACTGGCATAAGTGAACTTGTGAAGATAACAGCCCAGTATTAGCAACAAGACTACAGCGATGGAGCTAAATCGTTCCTCAACTGTATAAAATATAGTACAGGCCCTCTCAAGCATTTTAGCATTTACATGAATACAATACCAACCTGTATTCCAGTATGGGTGCAGGCGAGTTTTGTAAATTCTATACATCTCCCATCATTCACATCCCACAGACACATCTCCCTAAAAAACACATAGGGTAAGTAACTCTGATCATGCCCATGCACTTCATTTTTCAAAAGGACTTGCAAGTTACAGAATTATTTTGGTTTCAAGAAAGCTATATTGGGTCATCTAGTCCAGTGACTGTCAACCTTTCCAGACTAGACTACTGTACTCCTTTCAGGAGTCTGATTTGTCTTGCATATCCCCAAGTTTCACCTCACTTAAAAACAACTTGCTTACAAAATCAAACATAAAAATACAAGTGTCACAGCACACCATAGGCGACGATCCCATGAGTGCTCTAGGACTGGAGCACCGACAAAAAAAAAAATTAGTGGGTACTTAGCACCCACTAGCAGCCAGCTACCCCCTCCCCCCCCCAGCGCCTCCCGTCTGCCAGTGGCCCCACTGATCAACTCCTTCCCCTCCGCCACAGTACCTCCCACCCAATGCAATCAGCTGTTTCACAGAGTGCAGGAGGTGCTGGGTGGGGGAAGAGCGGGGAGGGGTGGAACTAGGCAGGAAAAGGTGGGACGGGGGTGGAAAGAAGCGGGGTGGAGGCGTGGCCTGGGGCAGGAAGAAGCGGGGCAGAGGGTGCAGCTTGTGGGAAGGGGGTGGAGCAGGGGTTGAACACCCCCAGGGCCCAGAGGAAGCCGGCTCCTGTGAAGTACACTATTACTGAAAAATTACTACTTTCTCATTTTTACTATATCATTATAAAATAAATCAACTGGAATATAGATAGTGTGCTTACATTTTAGTGTATGGTATAAAAAGCAACAAACAAGTTATTGTCCGTATGAAATTTTAGTTTGTACTGACTTTGCTAGTGCTTTTTTTGTAGCCTGCTGTAAAACTAGGCAAATATCTAGATGAGTTGATGTAGCCCCAGGAAGACCTCTGCATATCTCCAGCGGTACACAAGCCCCTGGTTGCGAACCACTGATCCTAGTCCATCCCAAATGTTTAGGTCAGGTAGCAGTTGGCCTTCTTTTAATTCCCCTTCCTTTCTCAGAGTCATCGCTCTCTCAATTTTTTTAAATCCACAGCCTTCCATGCAAGGTCTGCTTCTCTGGCATTTTTTTAGTTACAATGGAAAGAAGAAGTGAGGAGCCAAGACTTGTCACAAATAATAAATAAATAAATAAGTAGGATGCTTGTGTAGAGCTCAGGGCTCCCGATTTCTCTCATGCAAATATTTTCAACAACCTGTATTTCCAACCACCTATTAAATACTAAGACTACAGAACTAGGTTTTCCTTTTCCATATCTTAAAGCAGTAAAAGCAGTGGTGCTTTATCATGTGGCAGTGAAGACTGAGGGTAATTTCACAGCTTTTAAATTGCTGAAAAGTGAAAGTATCACTTGTTGCTGCTATGTGATGGGGCAGACAGGTGCCACACTGGCACTGAGAGGATTAAGGAGAGCCTGTGGACCCAGCTGACCCTGCAGTCAATGTCAGGCATGGAGAAGAGAGTTAGAAGGCGGAGACCTAGCCCAGTTGAGATCTAACCAGGAAGAGAACAGAGCTCTGCTGCTTCCTCAATGAGGAAAATCTGGTTCTAGCCAAGAACCTAAGGTTCCATGCTAGATGGATGAGCCATTTGGTGGATGAGATGACCAAGCACAGGACAAGGAGAGACTAACTGCACAGACACAAGCCTGGAGACCTGCCAAAAAATCCTTGGATTATCCTGATTTTTAGTACAATGTTTTCCTTTGTTTTGGACTCTAATATGCTGGAAAGGGTACAAAGGGGTACATGCAGGAGGGCTAAGGCACCAAGTCATTGGCTCTATGAGAGGCAACACTTGCCTATCAGAGACCTGCTGTGGGGAGTCGTTCCTTGACGAACTACAAATGGGCGCCACCTAGACAACCAGGTTGCTTAAGCTGAATCCACCAAATAAACAATTTAAAAGTATCATCCAGTGGAAATTTTTCTTACAGACCAGGAGAACGAGTATTATCATTTTGAAGTAGCTTTTCTCTTGTCTAATTCCACTCAACGTCCAGGCAGGTGAGCACAGGATGCTTGGACCTGGATGAAGTATTTCATGGAAAGAAGCATTGATGGATTCTCTGATGCAATAAGCAGACCTCCAAAAAAACATTTTGCTTACTCAGCTAAATACTTAGAGGATGATCAATACTGTGTTCTTTATTTAATAATTCGTCACTAGAATGGGAACATGGAATTATAGAGGAGCCCACTAGAAGACCTGATCAAAAGTTTTCCAGTGGAACGTTTTCACTTAAAAATATCAAAATGAAGCATTTTAATAAGGCCATAATATTCCATTTCAACCTTGTTGTAAGGAACATTTAAAACTTTTTATTTTATCACCGTACAAATTACTATTTAGAGAACCAATTACAAATTACCAGTTGGAATATCAAATCATCAATTTTTATTATAATTTAAAATTTAATCTCTAACTTTAACAAAGATTTCAAAGTCAAAATAAAACATTTTGATTGATTCTAACTGAAATACTTTCGGAGACTTTGTTTTGTGGGAAATTTCTACTTTTCATTTAAATTCAAAATGAAAAAAGCTGAAATGTTGGAAGATCCGATGGTACAGAAATTCCAAATTTTTGTCAGTTCTTCTCACTATTTCAAGGTTGGGAGGTCATGTAGAGCTACAACTCTGACCATTCCAGCTGCAGAAGAGGAGAATTTCCTTACTACATATTTGGATACAAACAGATCTATAAATGGTTAACCACATTTCTTGACTATAAATCAGAATGTTAAGGGGTAAAGAGTTTGTCTCATTCATTTGATTGAAGCAATATTGCTTACACCAATATTGAGGTACACCTTGAAATGTATGGCTCATATCCAAAGTCGATGGGACTTTGGAGTTCTGTTTTTTGTTGTTGTTGTTTTTAACGTGTTTGTACCCAAAGAAACCACTCATTCAAACGATTAATTCTTCAAAAACCCCTTAACAACAGACCAGTGCTCTGACCAACATGACTTTTGTGAACACTCTCAGGGCAGATGCCAGGACAAATGGAAAAGAGTTGAATTGGAAATACTAAAACCCAGTAGAAACCTCAGGTTACTTTTGGTGGACGAGAGTGATAGGGATGTAAAAAGAGACATTGTTAGGTCCATTAATGCCATGAAATCAGGTGGTCTTTGTGATCCATGATTGGCAGCCTGGATCTGATTGATTCTGTTTGGAATACTTGCGATTCATTAACTTGTTCACCCATTACATATAAAAAGCACTAGGTGCCTCTCTCTTTAGGTCCACAAAGAATTTTAAGTAAATTCCCTTTAAAGTTTCTGTTTGTCCATGGCTAGGACCCTAGTCCACAGACTCTAAAAGGTTTCCAGCAGTTTCCGGGGTGGGGGGGGGGGTCTCTCCTGATCTAAAAAAAGAGGAAGGAGAACACTAAGGGCTTCTCTACACATGGAGTTACTCTGGAATAACTATTCACATCTTACGTTATTCTGGAATAATTTTCAGGTATAGACAAGCCCTAAAAAGGAAAGGTGGCATAACTCAAAGAATTACCATCTAGGGAAAGGAGATCCAACAGTTAGAGGAGATAGCTTCCCACTGGAATGAGAAAGAAAATGCAAGCTCATCTCTGCACAGTGCAAGTCCACAGAGTGGAAAAATTGAGAGCCCAAAGCCTTTGTGACTCTATTAAGCGGCTGAGGGAAAAAAGGCTTATGCTTACTTCAGGTATAGGAAAAAAAGAAATCGCTACCCCTGTTCCTAAAAACAAGTTAGGCTTATACTTGGAAGAGAACCTCGTGACTGCAAGGAATGACTTTTCCTTGAGGAAGAGGGTTCTGGCCTATTTTCCATCCATCATGTGATGGTTTGGTTGGTTTCATTGTGGAGGAGAGGTGTCAGAGTAAGCCAAACTGTAGCAGAGGATTGATTCTCCAAGAAAATATGAAAATTTTAAAAAGATACCTCACTAAGAAGAGCGCTTCTGGCTCACTGCATAGGGAGACCTCTCAGACTCCAAGAGAACACGTGGCAGCCATATTAGGCAGAAACGCCAGGGCTGAGGAAAATCAAATGGCTACATTCTGTAGATGATCTCTGAGTTTAAGGCCATGAGAAACTATGAGACACTGAACTTCTTGCAATAAAGAAGGAAGTAAGTGACTTGGTAGCGTGCTAGAGACTGGCCTCAGAAAAGCAAGAAGAGAGAAAAAGAACAGCAGAGCCGAATGGCACTGATGGAGCAGAGCTGCAGAGATGCAGCTTAAATAGATTGACAGATTGAGAAGGAACAACAGAAATACGGGGCTGCCTGGAAATGCTGAAAGAGGAAACCCAAACTGGTATGCAAAAACTTTAATTGTGGAGTTGTTACATCTGAGCTTCCTAAAAAGGAGGTAAAAGTGGAGAGATCACATAGGATGCTGCTAACCCCCCCCCCCAATAATAATAATAAACCTAGAGACTTGAAAGTGAATATTCATGATTATCAGCAGAAAAAAAATAATTATGAAGCAAGCCAGAGAGCATTCAGAGCTCATATTCAAAGGCCACAAGCTGCAATTCTTTTCATGACCTCTCTGCCGTAACTTTAGAAAAGAGAAGAGAGCTGGGGGAAATTACAGCAACACTCAGAAGGCCAGATATCTGCCACACTGGGAATTCCCATTTAAATTCTCATTCAGGTTCTAAACTCAGCATTATACATTAAGAGGCTTGGGGGAGGGGGGGGAAAGGGGGGACACACTCCAGCCACTTGGAATAAAAATCCAAATTTCATATGTACAAGACGACTCTCCAGAGGTAGTAATTACAGATAAGCTTATGAAAAAAATCTTGGCAAAGAGTGAAACCCAGGAGAAAAAAGACAAAAGAAAGTCTCTAGTGACCGTATTGGCAATGGCAGTAGTGAAGCTGAACAAGACAACTTGGATACCTGAGAATAACCTAAAGACTAACCAGAAGGGACTTCTTGGGAGTCACCAGGAATTAACAGTTGAATAATAACTATGTAAATGCTATAAAGGAAATAGTATGAATT